TTTAACAGTAGGTTGACTAAAATGAACCATTTTAAAAAGTACAGGGACTAAAATGAACTTTTTTAAAGTATAAGGACCAAAATGAACTTAAGCTCAAAGTACTGGGACTAAAAGAGTATTTTAACCTAGAATTTAAGTAATATTTTATATCAATATTATTCTTCCGATAGAAAAAAAGATATAAATTTGTTTTAGTTGATTTAAATATATTTTAATTAGTTATACTATTTGTTAATATCAACTAAATTGCTAAAACACAGTTCAATTCTAAATACCATAACAATAATATTTTATATTAATATTTGTCATTGTAATAAAAATTATATTAATATATTTTTGTTGATAAAATTTTATATTAATTCATCAATATTTATTCATATCAAATAAATTGTTAAAATTAAAAAAGTTACTATAAAATAAAATTGTGTGATGAAATAAATTAAAATATGACATTTTTTTAGTACAACAAAATTAAAGTGGGAGAAGATAAGTACCAATTACCGCTGAGTTGACATTAAAGCATGACCTCAATCCTTAATGTCTTCTATATTGTTTAATTTTACAAGTATCAAAAGTCCTTAATTAAGTCACTGGACAACAAAATTTGTTAATAAAAATTTGATTTGTCGTTAATTTACTATTTTATTAGTGTATATATTTGGAAATTTGATTAGGTATGCCACTTGGACATATCAATTGAAAAGAAATGCAATTTGTTGATTGGTTAGTTGAATTTTGCTAATGTGCAAATTAGATTTCATTTATCAACTAATACTAAGTCATATATGTTCATTGAATCCAAATATTTTAACAAAACAACAATTTAAAAAGGAACAGTTACAAATATGACCAAAATATTTAATAAAATAAGTAAAATAGTAATGACATTTAGTTTTTTTAAATATAGCATTTTTTTCAACAAAAAACGGAGGTCTAGTTTAAAAATTACAACTTTTAACTCTGCAATATATTTGATATACATCTGTAATATATCTGCAATATATCTAACTACTGAAATATGCCTCTGATATACTAATGATATAATAATGATATACAATTAATTTACTTATGATATAACTATGATATCAACTGAACTTCTAACATGGCTTACCACTGATATACATATGATAACCATTAATTTACCACACCGATACAACATTTATATATCTGTGATATGTGCTTTATATGTCTCTAATTTACCATTGATATACAAATGATATAGCCCTGATATAACTTCTTATAATTATATGATTTACCACTAATATTACACTTATATATATTTGATATATACTTAATATGCTTCTAATTTACCATTGATATACCTCTTATATAACCATGATATTTACTAATATAACAATGATACATGTGTGTTGATATAATACTATTATATCTACTATTTTTTTATATGAAAACAATGGTGCAAAAAAATAATTGAAATATAAAGATTGTATAAAAGATTTATGTGGATCATGTACGTCCAAAAAAAAAAAAAAACAAGTTAACAATATCATATACTTTATAAATTTAAACGACTCATATTCCTTATATTTAGTATCTAATTAATTAATATTGAATAAATGGTAGTGATATAGTAATCAACATTTTTAATAATATTAGTATGTTAATCAACAAATTGCAAGGGTAAACTAGAATCCATAATAGCTGATATATCACTAAAAATTAAACATTTGATATACCTTATACTTAGTATATCAGTTGCAAATATATTTAGTATATCATAAATTAGAGGTATCAATTATATATATTAGAGGTATAATACATACATCTGATAATGTGTATCATGGGTACATCTGATAATGTATATAATGGGTACATCTGATGTTTATCGAAAATATATCAGCGGTACATTAGATGTATATCAGATATAGATTTGATATATATCATATACAGATATAAATTGGAGATATATCAGATACACATATATATTGGATATATATCAGGTATCATAAGGGTAAAATCGAAATAATAAAAAATTCGAAAATAAAATTTCAAATATTTTGCTATATTTGAAATTTTGAAAAGCTGGTGACATTTTTTGAAATACATAAATTATTTTTGCTACCCATCACAATTACCCAATTAAAAAATACATCAATTTTTTATAATTAAACTTTTAACTAAGTGTCAATGAAAAAACCTAAATGAAAATTTTTAATACAATAAAGATAAAATTGAGAGTTATAAAATATAAAGAATAAAATGGAGAATTACCTACCAACCAGAGTATATATAGCTCAACTGGTTACCAAAATGTCGTGAATTCGAATCTACACCCCAGAAGTTGTACTAAAATTTTTTTGAGAATTACATAGGGAAATAGATATCATTCAATATAATTAGCCTCATTTTCTAACATTGATACATGCAATCCAGGTTAATAACGAATTATATGTCATTTATCTTAAAATTTGCTCAATCTTTCTGTAGATTCAAACTGAAACTTCGTGAGAAGGTTATATTAATAATTAATTCATTGACCACTAGAGTTAGACCCAATTTGAGTAAATATAATTTCAAGCCACGAACATATAGAAGTTTCAATTATCCCAAATTTGGTGTAGTTTCCAATAATTTGGATCCATGAGAGAGGGAGAGAGAAGGGGCCAAATAGAAGAGGTTAAGACTCAAGAGAGAGAGAGAGGAGAGGGCATGCAGAAGAGAAGAAAAAGTAATGAAGCAATCTGCATCGTATTCGGTGCAAAGGAGAGTGGCTCACAAAAAACATAACACCATCTCTCTGCTCTGCTCACCATAACTAATCCCATTTCTCAAATCCTATCATCAATTCAATTGAATGTCTGTCCCTTTAATTTGGATTGCATGCACATCCAATAGACTACCATTATAATTCCAAAACAAATATTCTTTTTTAGCGTAAAATACTATTTTGGTCACTCTCCTACTTTTTTGTTTAGGTTCCTCTATTTTGAATTTTGATTCATTTTTAGCCCCTGCATTTTCTAAATATTCATTCTGGTCCTTGTATTTTTGAAAAGTGACCATTTTGGTCTTTAATTTCAAATTTAAAATAAAAATTGTATGCGTAATAAAAGCTCTTTTATATAAAGTCGTTGTTACATTTTAAGAGATATATTAAGTGTAGTGTGGTATTGAAAGCATGATAGAAAAATAAAATTAAAATAATAAAATTAAAGGACCAAAATGTCATTTTTTTAAGTAGAGTACCAAAATGTATACATTTACTAAAGTGAACAAACAGATAAAAATATAAACATTTTGAAAGGACAAAAACTAAAAAGAACATAAACCAAAATTACAGGAATTTAAGTTTCTTTATAAAATTAAAAATGGTAACCAATGTCACGAGAAAACTAACTTCAACTTATTTTTTCTTTTGTGCCAACATGAGATCAGGTTACCGTTTAATTAACACATATCTCTTATCAAAAGATTATGACTTCCAATCTTCAACTTCACTTGTACTAAAAAATTGTGTTTTTTTCTTTTTATTTATTTATTTTCTAGTAAATGGCAAAAACCACCCTTCAACTATGATAGTTGTTACAATTTGACCCATAAACTTTCAATGGTAAAAATTAAGCCCTCAAACTTTTAAAAATGAAAAAATTATACCCATAAATCTTTAATAATTAAAATTAAACCCTTAAATTTTATAAAATGAAAAGATTGACCCCTCAACTTTTAATGGGTAAAAATTGAACTCTCAGATTAAAAAGAATATTGAATCTATTTTAAAATTCACCTTCAAATTAAACAACCTCCACCGGGAGGCTTCTCTTCTACCTTAAAAGGAAGATTTTTACGGTGGGAGGTTTAAGGGTTGCAGAGGTCCCATGGCGGTATCTCGCCCTTGTCGTCGTTCAGCTCCAAAGTTTTCCGATCGTAGATTCTCTGCAACATGCTTGGCCATCGACGGTGCGCCTCACCAGTCAGAATCAACATTAGAAATCGAACAAACATTGATTAGACTATTAGAGTAATTAATTAATTTTCCTTATCAAAATGGAGTAAAATAAGGTTGCCCACACCCTGGCGATTGGGGAAGACGATGGAGTCATATGGGTTGGAACGAAAATTTCCCCAATTTGGCCACTCGTTGAAGCAGTTCAATGTGAATTGTTGCTTTTAGCTTCTTATTTGTTTATTTCTCAGACAAATTGTATTAATTTTCCTTCATCTTCTTCCAGATTTTGTTTGCTGGGTTTAATGGAAGGTATTTTGAGGGTGTAATTTTTAGAATTTGAAGTTTATTGGTACCATTGATAAGTTTAAGGGTTTAATTTTAACTGTTAAAAGTTTAGGGGTCTAATTTTTTTCATTTATAATAGTTTAAGGGTTTGAGTTTTACAAATAAAAATTTATGGGTGAAATTGTTACAACTAACGTAGTTCAAGTTCAAGGGTGGTTTGTGCAATTTGTGCAATTTGCCCTTTATTTTTTTTTTTTTCTGTTTAAGATTGAATATTCTTAATCAAGGCATGCAAATGCAGACGCCGCCAATGGTTTTTTCTCCACAAAATCTAAAAATTGGTTAAAACTTTTCAACTTCATCTTCTCTCTCCATAGATATGAAATGAATCTCTATTTTGGGTTACACTTCAATTCCCAAAGCGTAGGCCTTACCTACACCTTACAAACAGGCTGTCTGTTTTTCCTTTTCCCTTTTCCCTTTCTCCTTCAATGGCGTAACCCTCTTCGTCCACACTTGCCCTTCGGTCCTCTGTCATTCCCGAGAGCCACTGCGAGGGCACTCTCGTCTTTTCACCTCAAAACCCTTCCCCTTCCTCCCATCATGTTTTCAGAGATTTCGCATCGCCAAAAACGAGACACGCATGTCCATAAAACCGCACCCCATTGGTCCATTTTCATTTTTCTTTTTTCTTTAATTTTCGGGTCTGCAGAATGAGAGGCAATTATTTTCCATGCAGATCAAAATTTGAAGCCCCGGCCCTTATTATTACCTCAAACTAAAACCCTAATTGTTGATTTTGGTTGCCATGGAAGTGGACGGGGGGGTCAGATCGGAGGTGGGCGGCGCTCCGGCGAGCTCGCGGTGGAATCCGACGAAGGAGCAGATTGGGATTTTGGAGAACTTATACAAGCAAGGAGTGAGGACGCCCAGTGCCGACCAAATACATGAAATCACCAATAGCCTCAAAGCTTACGGCCATATTGAAGGCAAGAATGTGTTCTATTGGTTTCAGAATCACAAGGCCAGGCAGAGGCAGAAGCAGAAGCAGCAGAGTTTGGCCCTTTTTAGCCACTTTCTTCACTTCAATTCCAACCCATATTCTTCCCCAAACGGTTCGTTCCTTTACTTTCTCATTTAAATTTATCCATAATCCACGGTCTGTCGTCAAAGTACACATGGGGTTATTTGGTACATTTTTGTCTTCACTAAGATTTCACCCATAAAAACTCCACGAGTATACACCGAATTTATATATAATATGTAGTAAAATATTAATTTGTTCAAGATAAGATTTATGTGACCATTAAAAAAAAGTAATGATCACAAAAATTTGCTAAATGTTTGAATCCTTGTTGTCACTGTTTTTCTGTGAGAAACAAAATACTGTGAAAAACAAGACATTATGAAACATGGTATTATGGTAAGAGATTTTATGTTTTTTTTTTTGGTTATAATTTGAAAGAAAAAAAATACAAATGTAGTCGCTTTAATGCACTAAACTATACTTTTTTTTTCCAATTTAGCTATCAAAATCAATCCAACCATGATTTCTTTTTAGATAATATAGAATTAGTGTTCTTTAACCACTCGTATAAATCAAACAATGAAATTTCTTTTAAGAACAAGTATGTCAGATGGTAGAATTTAGATTTTTTTTTAATTATTTTCTTAAACCAAATTGGATGTCTTTAAATTGATAACAACTTTTGTTGGGCATTTGGTGCATAATTTCCAAGCTCACAAGTGAAGAGGGATGATTAGTTTAAATCTTTAATTAAGTCTCTGGACTTGACATTAAGTAGATTTGTGATGAAATTATTAAGATCCATTTTTATTTTTCTTTTGTTCTTCTACTCTCATGAGCTTCTCTTTTATGATATCAGTGGGTTGCAGCCCATACTACGTACATCAAAACGACGTCGGATTGTATCCACCGTACCATAACAATTCCAAGGCGCTTCAAAGCAGTGGCATTGCGAGGAGAAGATCAAAGAGCGAGAGAAGAAACAGTAATGGTGAAATTGAGGTCTCCGCCATTAACCTTAACATTCAGACTGAAACTCTGTCTCTCTTTCCGACGCATCCGACCGGAGATTTACAAGTCGGACCACTGCCACCGACGTCTTCCGAAACCTCTGCCGACCATTCTTCGGCCGGTGTTAGCTCTTCTGGCCGTGGGACGTACTTTGATTTTTTTCTCTAGGAAAACTTTGTTAGAAAAGGGAGGGATTTTCTTGTCTTTATAGAGCAAACTTGCATTTTGTGATATTCTTTTTTCATTTCTGTGATGAAGGAATTATTCAATCAATCCACGGTTTCTGAGTTTAGGGTATTGAAATTAAGTTTCCATTTCTCCATTTACACAAGGTTTGAATGTTGGAATAGGAAAAGTTAGTTAATAGGTTTAAATATTATTGTAGTTTGGGTTTTACTTCATTTTGATCCACATCCATTTTGATCCTTTTAGTTTCAAATTTTGTTCAATTTAATCACTGTGCACTGTGCTCTCACAAGGCCTATTTTGATCCTTTAAAATAAAATATAGATTTTGGTTCTTTCATTTTATCTTTATCTAATCTCTCTAAGGAAATTTAGCTACAAATTTATATCAACAATTTTCACTGTATATAAAGTTTTAGGTGAATCTCACTTGAAGTAAGTAGTTGTTACAGTTGTACTTGTAAATTATAAATTAAAAATTAGAATCTTAAATTTCAATGGTAAAAAATTAAACCTTCCAACTTTTATAAGTGAGAAAATTAAACATTCGATCGTAAAAATTACACCCTCACATTTAAAAGGAATGAATCTTTTGATGTCGCTGCGAGAGAATAGAGATACCCAGAAAATTTCAGAGATTTTCCATTGAAATAACTTGCCGAATAATGGAGATGCCATGGGCGGCACCGGCTATCGCATGACTGAGTTCAATTTTGGACATCAAATATGCCACTGTTTCATTCAAGCACTAATCATCAAATTCCACTTTCTAATGGAAAAAATTTGACTATGTTAAAGTTTGGGAGAATCTACCCCCTTAATATCATTAAATATTTGATAACTCATTATTTTAAAATTAAATATTTGACTATTATCTTGTTTAATGGTTGACTTTTGACATTTTTGTGCTTGATTTGTAGCGTTTTGTTTGTGTAACTAATTGGTTGATTAAGATCTTTTTTTCCAATAATAAAGTCAGACCCAAAAGACCAAAATTGCTAAAAATATAGATTAATTTGAGCAAATAAAAAACTTGAACATTTGATTTCTACTTAATGATACAATCACACTCGGAAATGGGAGGTCACAAAGGAATGAAAGTTGAGACAGAGAGGAGAGAGGGATTAATTCAAGGGCAATTGCAATAATGTCAAAACAATTAAGTAAAATAGCACATTTAGCATCCATGTTTAACTTTTCCAAATATGGCAATTTTTGTAGAGATTAATACACAAATAGCCTATTTTATGATTCAAATTACACTATGAGCTCAACTTTTTAACAATTTACAGTATTGTCGAAAGATTGATCCATTATGGGTGAAATCCATTAGAAAAATTACTCATAGGTCATCACTAATATATGTTAGATAAGGATAAAAAATAAAATCAAATATGGAATAAATTTAAAATTTGGGCGGTTTCCTAATTTTTGTTTTGAAATCCCTGAAATCATGCAGCTATGTTTCATGAAATCCATTTTTATTTTGAAATCCCTAAATACCTACAATCTCTAATTTGAAAACCTAAAATCATTAGGGAGTTGATTAGATTTTGGATATATGGCACAATACTTCAAGATATATATTATATAACGTAATATTTGGGTATATACCACCAAAAGTTATATATTATATAACTTAATTAATATTTGAGTATATACAACTAAAAGCTATATATTATATAACCTTTTCAAATAGTATATGTTTATTGTACTATAAATTATGGTATAACAATATATTATATAATGGTAGTTGGAATATATTCTATAACATAATAGTATATAATAATAAAAAGTATATATTATATAACTATTTAGATAAGTATATGTTTATCATACCATTGCAGAAAAAAAAGAGTCGAAAAAGAAAAATTCGGTGAGAGAGGAATTTTTAAATTTTGATTATACAAAGAAGAATTTGGTATTAATTGTGATAGGAGAAAAATATAGGACTTTTTAGGTTGGGTCAACAGAAAAAGATTTGGAATCCAAATATCGAAAAAGTTTGATGAAAATCAAATCTAATTATTTAAATAAAAAAATATTTAATAAAATAAAACAATAATAATTTAGGGTAATCATGGGATTATTGAAAATTTGAAATCTAAGAATCCAAATATGTAAAAATTTGAAAACTTAAGCTATCTATGAAATATAGTTTCTAAAATGACTCATTAAAGATATTTTCTCATTTAAAAAAAACGAAGGCGGAAATTATTAAAGGACAAATTTACCCTAGAAGCCCAAAACATTAATAGTACTGATATATATATGATATATACTAGATATATCTCTACCACTGATATAACTATGATATCTACTGATATAACTTCTTATATGATTATATGATTCACCATTTATTGATTTACCACTCGATATAGCACTAATATACATCATATATATACTTGATATACCTCTGATGTACCACTAATATATAACTGATGTACCACTAATATGTAACTGATATACCACTGAAATACAACTGATATACCATTGATATAATTATGATATCTACTGATATAACTTCTTAGACTATATGATTTAGCATTTATTGATTTACTACTTATATAGCACTGATATGTATCAGATATATACTTGATATACCTCTGATTTACTACTAATGTACCACTAATATATAATTGATGTACCACTAATATGTAACTGATATGCCACTGATATACAATTGATATACCACTAATATAATTATGATATGTACTGATATAATTTCTTATATAATTATATGATTTACTATTTATTAATTTACTATTGATATAGCATTGATATATACTTGATATACCTTTAATATACCACTAATTTACTATTGATATAACTTGTGATATGATCATATAATTTACCATTGAATGATTTACCATTGATATAAGATTGATATATGTCTTATGTATACTTTATATACCTCTGATTTACTACTGATATATCTCTGATATAAATATGATATATGTTGTTGATATATACTTTTGATATGATTGATGTACAATTGATTTACTATTGATTTATTATTGATATATCACTGATATATCAATAATTTCAAATATATTGCCTCTAATATGTGTTTTGATATACTGCTAATATATCCACTAATTTTTTGAATGATATGACAATGAGCCTTTTTATATGTATAGCGTTTTGAATTTAATTCAATTTTTGCCAATTTGTTGATAATTTGTTGATAAGGAAGCGCGTGAACGCTTGTGCTTCGATTTTATTTTAGAAATTCAATAAAGAAAAGACATAAGCAATGCAAAGAATGAGAAGTAGAGAAACCTACATTTGAAGGTCGTTCTTCAATGAGCACACCAACACCACCAAAAAGTCTTTCCTACTATTCTCTTGGCAATGACCGATTTATAGGAACTGTCTTTTGAAAGTGAGAGAATTTGGATTTCAAGGAAGCTTTTAGAGAAGATGTTCAACCCCACCAAAATGCAACTCTTTGCATTTTATAGAGAGGCAGAAGAGTTGGGAGGAAGTAACCTCCCCACCCACCATCTTCCCACTCCCTTGCAGAATGGGAGGAAGTGTGTTGTTAATTAAATTAATTTAATGAATTAATAATAATTAAATATATCATATATTTAATTAAATCTTTATTTGAATCATATTCAAATATATCTCTCTCTCATAACCTATAGTTTTAATGTGAATCTCATTCACATTAATTTTAATCTATAATTTTAATATGAATCCAATTCATATTAATTCGTATTTGAATCTTATTCAAATATAACTCTCATAATATATAGTTTAGTTATGAATGTCACTCGTAGTTAACTTTATATTATAATGTATCTATATACATTATATTAATTGTATCTTATACAATTAACCTACATTCCCTTAAATAAGTTGAATCCCTCAAATTATTTCACAAGACTTGATCCTTGTTTTACCCGTTGTGAGCTAGCGGGGGAACCTAATGGACGTACAAATTAGAAGCTCCAACAATATAAGATTAAATTATTAAACTCATTAACCAAAATAACCAACATTCGTTAATTGTGAGTCACTCCACTAAAGACCCACAGCTGCACTCTTCGCACTGTAGAATATTTTGCGTCCATGGATATTGACCATTAACAGTAAGTCAATCCTTCACGAATGTTTGTAACTTCAATTGGATCAAATTACCGTTTTACCCCTGAGTTACCTCTTTTCTCCTTAAGTACCACTGATCCTCTAATGAACAATCTATTTATGGTCTAACCATTAAACAGACGTCCTTCTTGAGCCAGTGAGAGAGTGGGGCCCCTTATTCAAGTCTCGAAGTCAGCAATTAAGAGAACACTCATCTACTTACCCTAAGGTTGGGAATGAGTGAATTCAATCTTGTGTAGTTATGTTCACAGCTCCCCACTTGGTCCCCAAAATGGCAGGAATATTGAATCGGTGACCCGAGTCACTCTCGCCCATACAAATCAAAGGACGATCCCTTATAGGCAAGAGTTCATGACTCACTTAGGATTGAGATTGAGTTACTTGGTCTTCCTATGAAATAATAATCTATTAGTTAACGGTGTTACAACTAAAGATTAATTATTTCGCGGTCTGGTCTTATACAAACTCATTGCATAGGATACCCCTACTCGCATGTCTCCACATGAACGATTTGGATTAAGTTGTTTGTAACTCTTACAAAGTGGGCTGTATCCATAGTGTTACCAGGATAAGGTACCAACCTTACCCATATACTATAGACCCTTTAGGTTATTACTGGAACATTATCCACTTATATATCGAATATACTGTATGTTAAATATATACCATGTATATTAATTATATACTATTCCAGTTACATGACATAACCTCGGATGTTAGTTTATTGGATTTGGGTTAATGCAATCTTAAAAGAAACTTGAATAACAGCTTCATTGAATAAATATTTGTTCTGCATTTATGATAAGACTTGATTTAATGCTAAAAAGTGTAGGTTTGCTTGCTTAAGTAACTTATATTTGGGATGAAAAATGTATGTTCATGCATATAATTTAGGAAAAATGTGCATAATTTGTGATTAGGGACTTTGGAATTCAGTTATAAGTAAATGAAGGCTAATTTGTGTAAATATGCTTATGTTGTAAGGAAAAATGAAGATTTATGATCACAATGCGTCAGACACATTGCAAGGCCAGAATTTCTAGCTTACTAGAGGAATGAGCCAGCCAAGTTGCTTTGAAAGTTCCAGCTTCGCAATGCGCCAGCCACATTCGATGCATAGATTGTCAAAACGGGAATAACCACTTTTGACCAAGTAATTGATCCAAGATTTGGTTTTACTCCTAATATCTCTACAACAAGTGGTTGCCAACTTCCCTTGAATTTCTCAAATCCTTGTTACTTTCATGGCCTATAAAAGGAGCCTCCAAGCATTACTTCTATACATCTCATTTTTCATGCTTTTCTTTTCCTTTCTACTCTAGTTTTGTAGTTTTTATTTAAGTTTTGTTTTCAATTATTTTTCTACAATTACTCTTGTTATTTTATTGCAATTCAATTTGTTCCATTTTGTGCTTTCTTTCCAATTCTAATTAAAATGATATCTTTTGTTATCTTCTCTTATGTTTTAATTTCTTTCAATTCCATGAGTAGGTAAATTGTTCTTCAACCCTCCTACGAATGCTTAGTTCTTATCACTATAAATTACATCTATCAGTGAGCACGACGTATTACGCTCTCTTTGCTTATCTTGATTGATACAATTTATCTAGTTGATTTTTCTTGTTGGCCACTTGTTTAAATCACAACAGTTGAATTTAATTCTGAAAAGGTTAGAGTCAACGGAGTTCATCAAGATAAAACGGGAAGTTACTTAGAAATAAGAACTAAAATAAGATCCTAGACATAGGCTCTCTTACCCGTTAAACGTAAGTTGGAACTTGATTTATTTAGGATTCTAGAGTTTCATAGACATATGTAAACACTAGCCTAAACTTCTAAAAAAACCAAAAGCGGTATGGAATAGGAGTTGAACCAGTTTGCATAAATTGAGCGTAATTACGGGCACATTTGGTAGGTGTAATTCATCATTTTAGAACTAAACAGAAGTAGGGGGTTGGCCTTTTAATTTCCGTGTTTCTAATTTGTGTTCCCAACAATTCCACCAATTCTTATTCCCAAACTCGATTGCTCATTCAAGCAGTTTACAAAATCAATTTTAAAAGAAAACTAGTCCCTGTGGAGACGAACTTGGAATATTTCCAGATTATTACTTGTGACAGTGTGCACTTGCACTTATCCTCTAGCTATTAAGCAGAAGCGCAACAATTTACAAACCACGAGTTTAGGGCATAAAACCTAACAACTAACTCTCATATGGTTGACCCTACCCAAGCTCGATTTGTGATGATTTCTCAGAGACTGAGTAATTCTACATGGTCTTGTCTCCCAAACGCTAGAGACACAGCTACGTGCTCTAACTCGATCTAAGTAGTCCCTGATGCTTCCTTCCTCGATCGAACCCAACGACCTCTAAAGGAAGGTTTCCCCTCTGATGACTTGGCACTCCCACCCAAGTCTGTTGCCACTCTAGAGAGATTGCGCTTACCTTCAGCACCTACTGTAGTCTTCTCCCTCGATGCACTCCTTCGCTTACGCGACTTCATTAGCTCGTCAAATTGTCTAACAATTGAGGCTCGAAACTGACAACCTGTCGAACAACTCACTGTGCTATTCCCCTTTCCCTTTTCTTTACTTCTCAGTTGTTGTACTTGAACTGATGGCATAATTTCTTCTTCTATCTTGGTTATCATTACTGCCGGTTTTTTAAAGTCTCACCCTGAACCATTTGCAACCCTATGCATCATTTGTCTCTCAAATCCCCTGGCATCCTTAAATTTAGACACATAAATTGAGGCTTCCTTATGGCCCACTGCTGCTACCTCGGATCCCCTCAAAAGTTTCCAGCTATCCTATGCAAACTCACTCTTGTAACCATCGTCATCCAGTTTTCCAGCAGATAACAAATTCATTCTAAAACCTGGAACATACTTGACAACTCGCAACACCAACTATTTTCCCTCATCGGTCACCAAACAGACATCCCTAATTCCTCTAACCTTGAAGATACTCACATTCCCCATCCTTACCTCGTCGTGCTGACTAGTAAAAATATGTGAACCGCTTTCTGTTTGAAGATATATGTGTCGATGTTGCAGTGTCCACAATCCACTCTAATGGTCGATCTACTGAGTCGCTCTCAACACATGCCAGAAACTATTCTACTCTTTCTGCCACATTAGCAGAATCACCCTTCTGTTGATCCTCTGTAAGCTTCCTACAAAACTGCTTAATGCGTCCCTTCTTGTGGCAGTAAAAACATTCCACATCTCCACTATTACTTCCACTCCTCTGGTTGCAATACTGTTGCTTTCCCTTATAACTCATCTTCCCTTTGTGCACGTT